AGTCATGAATCCCAGTACTATGCCACAAGCGTGTCTCACAGTCATCTCAAGACAAATATACACACACTATGGCCTGAGTTATGGCCGTCTCTCTGATGGAAGCACTGAAGAGCGGAGTGTGAATGAGGCAGCCATTACATAATTGCTAATGCTTCAAGTACGAGGGGCTTTCATTGGATATTACTATAAAAACTCTCCAGGGAAGGCTTTACTATATAGGCTGGGAAAGATAGCCTAAGCAGCTTTCCTCCCCAGCCTCTGCAGGACAAAAACAATACTTAGTGTCAAAGGGCATCATTGGCAAGAGCATCCACTCACATATTTTCTAGAGTGCTTTCCCTTTAGCACAACTCTACTCATCACATTGGCATAATGCCTCCACTATTTTTAGGTGCAACAGACAGCAACAGGGGCTTGGAGAGCTGAAAAGCATCATTTGGAATTGTATTTTTCACAATATTATTTACCAGACTAGAACAGCTCCATCTATTGGATAACCCCAGTATTTTAAAAAGTCCATCTCTATTTAACAGACAAATCAAAGGAACCAAAATGTATCTGAACAATAAATAAAAAATTGTGCACGTTAGGCAGCAGTAAAGGGCTGAAAGCAGATGCTTTCTCTTTACACTTTCTATCTTCCCCCTTGCCTGGCACTCTGCGTACATGATCGTGGGCACAACAGAAGAATCTGAAAAACTGCATACCACATTCCAAGTTCACTTCATAAAGAAGTATAGCATCTGCATTTTCGACAAAACTTACACTGATTTTGATCTGTGCGCTAAACAATTTTAGCCTACTGCTTGATTAATTCACAACGTGAGGTACAGCAGCATAACTTACTTCAATGGAAAATATGCATCTTAACTTTCAGGTGCACTACTCAGTCCAACAGGATATTCCAGAGCCACTGCAAGACCATGATCATAAACAGGGTGTAACTGAAAGCCACAAGAGTTGCCCTTTCTAGTATGAAGGAGCTGGCATCTTAAACTATAAACAACTATAGTTAAACTATTAACAACTATAAAATGAACATAGGATTGAGAATGTAAATTTTACTTTCCCCAATCACTCCCATTTAAGCTGGAGATGAACTCCATATTGGAACTGCTCCATAACCAAATGCTAAAATACTAGTTTCATCTATGCATTTTACTACAGAAGTCTATTCCACTTCAGTCCTTATTCAAAACAACCATCACTGATTTCAATGGGAGGTATAGCTCAAGTGTAGAAAGCAGGATCAAAATCTAATGTGAGCAACTTAACAACTCTGCCATTCTAAAATACAGTTCTAGATATACTGAAATAGTGACGCAGAGAAACTGTACAAACTTTTCCCTTCTACTGATTGCAAAAGCTCAGCACCTTAAAGTAGTTTAGCATCTACAGTAAACCCTTTACATACTATAGGCTGTTCTTGAAATCTTATAAAATACCAATGTGGCATAAAGAAATTTTACAGAATAATAATCTTTATATAAAAAATAGTTTAGTGATGTATATTGAAGTAAACAATAAACAGTACCCAACAGAGAGGACGTTACCAGTGTTATGCAGAAGTCTGGGTAATATTTAGTCAAAGGTCTGGTTTTACAAAACTAGTGTTTATTTACCAATTATGATCATTGATAACATTTTTATTGCTATCATACATTTGAAAAAAACAACACTTCAGTTTAGAAATTATAAAATATATGAAGTTAAATTTGTACGAATGCCATCAAATCTTTTAAAAGTCACTGTACCACATTTTCTTGATTGTTTACTAATAAATTTGATTGCAGCATGTAAATAAACTACAGCATACATTTTACCTGACACCATGCATGAAAATCGGCATAAAAAGTTTATCAAAATTCATCTCCATGAAGAAAAAAGTGCAAATTATGTACCCAATACAAAGTCCACCATAGCTGATTATGCTTAATATGGCATGGAAAAAGTTTACAGCATTTATTAAGAAAATTACTACAACATGTGTTCACCTCAGTGTTTATATACAATATTTTGTTCAAAGTGCTCACTGTAAATATGAAAAACAGATTGGATAAAAATGTTCAAAACAGTGCTTTGAGGGTTGGGAGGAATTAGGGAAGAATCCATGTGTTGTATCAGTCCCACTTCTCTTCCACTTCAATCAGTGCAACAAGATGCAGAAATGTTTTGTTGTCAACAATACTAGCAGGACTTTAGTTACAGTGGCACTCTTGGTGTTCCATTAGGTGTGGCTCTTTTGATTTTTTGCATCTGATTCTGGTGTTTTCGCGATTTTACTACTTTCATTCTTACTTCAAATACTTCATGTATGGCCTTGCGAAAACAATGGAAATTGTAGTCTATTAATCCTAAACCAGAGGGGAAAAACAATTATTCCAATAGTAAGAATACAGCTTAAATATATCAATACCAAAATAGTGTACTGCACAGTATCTGAAATGGGACATGATTGATGAATCTTTCAGACAACAGTAGTACAAAAAGCACATTTAATGGAATTATTAGCTGTTTATTAATGAGTAGGGATCCTGGTTTTCTCTGATTAAAAACTGCAAGTTCTCTGATTAAAAACCCAAAATCTGTGATAAAAATTAAATGCCCCCCCACAGCCCCTCCCAGTGCTGCTGGTGCCCCGCACTCCCCCCCACAGAATCAACAGCCCTCCTGATGCCCCTCGTAACAGCCCCCCATACCCACAGACATGCAGACACAGACATTGACACCCACCCCAGCAGGTAATTGTGTGTGAGGGAAGAGACAGGGCAAGGGGCAGGGCAGGGCAGTGCAGGAGAAAGGGAAGGTGCTAGGGGAGTAGATCAAGAAGCGGGGGAGTGTGTTCCTGTGCCCACTCCCAGGAGCACGGTGAAGGGGTGAGAGCAGGAGTTCCACTCTGTGGGCCTGTAACAAGGGGCCTGCTCCAGGTCAATCTCACTGTGGCTCGCCCATCTGTTTCTGGGCTAACCGCCTGCCTTCTTTCCTGCCACACCTTGTTGTTAATTATTTAATTGATCTTAATTAAGCGGGAGGCTCCCCATTTCTTGCCCCGATGCCAGGGGGCGCTATCTGTGGCTCCATTCTTCCCCTACACCGCAGCCCAAGCCTCGCAGATAGCATCCAGCCGTTATCAATATTACCAGCCCCACACTGGGCCCCAGAATCCTACTAGTTGAACCCCACTTAGATCCTTCCATTCAGGCAGCCTATTCTGCCTTCATTCCCGGCCGCATAGCTCCCTAAGCTGCTTCCCCCTTATGGGTGTGGTCCCCCCAGGACCTTCAGCTCTACTGGCCCTGGCCCACCTCCAGGCCAGTTGGAATCCCAGGCCCACAGCTCTGGGCATCCCTCGCCGTGCGCCCCCGGCCCTTCGACCCTTCCAGTCCTGGCCCCAGGTTGGACCAGTCAGGGGATGTCAAGACAGGTTGAGTCTATGGCCCAACTCTCTCTCTCTGGGGTCCACCTTCTAGACCCTACAAAGGGGGTAACACATTCGGTTGTGGGGGCTAGGGGTTAAGGTACCCCGACCCACCTTTCATCAGGGTGGTAACTGGCCTGGTATTTTCTGGGGGCTCCCGCGCCACTGAGAGCCCCACCAGGCCACCCACCCCCAGCAGGGTGCAATTTTAGGTCATGCCCAGGACCAGGAGCCTCATAACCACCCCCAACAGCTCCTCCCTTACCTCCAGATGATACCAGCAGCCCTGCAGCCAGGCAATGTTGCCTGGCCTCCCAGCAGCAAAATGCCCTGTTTATATGGACAGCCCTGAATCTAAAATGGCTGCCCACATCAGGCCCCTTCTGGCTCCTGTCTTCTGGCCCTTAAAGTAGCCGGCACAAACAGTGCCCTGCCACAGGGCCACACACATGCCAACCAGCCTGACAGAAGGTTCGCACACAAAGGCTGCCCCTGCAACTCTGCCACTGCGCCCTGCACTACCATCCCACAGTCACCTGAATGGCTTTGTGGGCAAGTGGCACACAGTGAGGCAGCAGCATGTGGGCAAGTGGTGCAGGGCGAGGGAGCAGCAGTGCAGTGGCAACCACTGTGTGCAGGCCACATATGTGCCGCCTGGCCAAGGGGTGAAACAGAAGGCTTGCATTCAGCAGCATGCCCTGCAACCAGCTGCACAGCTCTGCAGTGGCATCAGCATGCAGGGTGGGGGGGCTTTGCGGGCAAGTACTGCCACCGCAGAGCCATGCCCTTCGCCCCTGGATCCTAGAGGTAAGTGGGGCTTGGGGGCTGTGGGGCAGGGCTGGGGAAGATGGTTGGGGGCTGAGGGAGCGGGGAGTGCTTCTGGCCCCAGGTGGCACATCGCAGGTGGGAGCAGGGCCAAAGGGTGAGGGCAGGGGTGCACCTCTGTGGGGGGCTTTGCAGGCAAGTGATGCAGGGCACAGTGTCATGGTGTCCGCCATGTGCAAGCCGCACACATGCTGCCCAGCCGGCTGCCCAGGGGAGGGGGAGAGGGAGACTGGCATGTGGCTGGAGTACAGCTCTGTGGCCAGCTCTGCAGCCGTGGCAAGGGATGGGGGCAGGGGCTTGCATGTGGCGCTGCTACTTACCTGGAGGTCCATTATGGCAGTGACGGCTGCTGCCTCCAAAACGTCCTGCTGCTGCTGCAGAGTTGTTCCTGTAGCTGTGCGGCCGCCCACTGGGCGGCGGCAGCAGCACAGCGGTGGCCAGGTGGCATGCAGCCATCCCCACCAAGCATGGCTCCACGGCAGCAGCAGGAGGTTTTGGAGGCAGAGCCAGTCACCGCTGGCACGGGCAGCCGCTGCCGCTTGCCTGTGGGGCTGCCTGTGCCAACGGTGACTGCCTCTGCCTCCAAAACCTCCCATTGTCGCAGCGGAGCCGTACTCAGAGCTGTGCGGCCCGAGGCAGTGGCACAGGGTGGTGGTGTAGATGGCTGCATGCCGCCCGTGCACCACCAAGTTGCCACTGCCGCCTGGCAGCCGGCCACACAGCTCCAGGTAGAGCTCCACGGTGGCAGTGGGAGGTTTTGGAGGCAGTGGCCATGACTGCCATAACGAACCTCCAGGTAAACAGCAGCACCATGTGCAAGCCCAAGCCCCCATCCCTCTCTCTCGCCATGGCTGCAGAGCCAGTCACAGAGCTGTGCTCCAGCTGCATGCCAGCCTCCCTCTCCCCCTTCCCCAGGCAGTGACTGGTCGGCATGTGTGTGGCCCGCATGTGGTGGGCACCACCACATCGCTTGCCTGCAAAGCCCCCACAGAGGGGCACCCCTGCCCTCACCCCCTGGCCCTGCTCCCAGCTGCGATGTGCCACCTGGGGCTAGCAGCACCCCCGCTCCCTCAGCCCCCAACTATCTTCCCCAGCCCTGCCCCATAGCCCCACTTACCTCCATGCTCCAGGGGCGAAGGGTGAGTCTGAACCTGAGCCTGGCCTTGGCTGCCTCAGAGCCTCAGGCTCCACCCTCCCGCATCTCCCTCCCTGTCCAGCCAGGGCTGGGGGTTTCCTGCCCTTTTTGCAATTGGCTCCTACAGGCTGGAGCTGTGCCAGCCTGCAAGAGCTCATTGCAAAAGTGTAGAATCCGCGGATTTCTCTGCTAAAAAGAGAAATCCGCGTTTTCTCCAATAAAAACGGAATCCGTGGTGTTCTCCCTTTTTCCATGGGAAACGGAAAACCCAGATCCCTGTTGATGAGTGACTGAAAATTCTATTCTATTCCTCTGAGGGCCAAGGCTAATATATTTAATAACTGATCTGGAAAGATAAAAAGAAAGGTTTGCAGATGATGTTAAGACCAGAAGAGAACTTCAGAGAAGTGGTAGGTTTTGAACAGAGCCCCCAGATAGAGGAACTTTTCATAAAGTACAGTTTAACTTCAAGTTAGTCTGTTAAAAAAAACAAACATGTTCATTAAAAAGGATGTAAAATGACCTAATAGGCAAATAAAGTTTTTACTGATTACTTCAAAACCAACAATAAACCAACAAAGAATTGGCTAAATTACCTTTTAGCCAAACGGAAAAATCTTATTCTGAAACTCTGGTGACACACTTTAATCACATGAGTGGGTTGAAAGGACATCTCACTATTATAAACACAGAAAAACTGTAAAAGCCTACTGGTGTTCAATATGAAGACTAGAGTGACACAGTTTGTAACACTGCACTACAATTTTAGAATTTAGCACAGAGCTCATGACCTCACCCAAGGTTAATGCCATAAGCTCTTTTAGCTCAGTACTGTAGTGTTAGGAAAATTAAAGGGGAAAACAGGAAATGATACATTATTTTAAGTAGTTTAAATCTGCAGGTGTTTTCTTATTTTTATTTTTCCAGGAATGGTTTTCCCCTCACAAAAGTTCAAACAAAGATGTTACACATAAGACAGAAGGTGCCAAACATTAATCTACATTTTAGAAGAATCTTATGTTTTTAGAGATAAGAAAACTGTTTAAAACATGAAATATCATAAATAATGAAGACAAAGAAGCCCATATGCCTGTGGACAAAGCCTATCAAGTGCTATTGCTTAGTATGTTTTCTTTTTGAAAATTTGTCTTTCATACTTTACATTAACATGTTTTGTGTTAATCATAACCTTTCAGTTTTAAAATAGGCTACAATAAAAAGAATAAAAGCAGAGGGTATAAAACACTGGCATTCTAATACAACAAAAAATGGATTGAGGATAGGAGGGATTTTATATTTTTGTGGCTATTATTTCTTGCATAAGTTGCAATATTAAGTTAAAAACCAATATAGAATTAATATAGATACCAACCCCAGCTCAAGTGGCAAGGAGGTATTCTGAGTTGACCACACCAGAGACACTATATCCATATAACATAATTTATGCTGCTATGGTTAAGACCTTTAGTGTGACTGGAATTCTATAAAGAGTGCTAAGTCCTCAGTGAATTCAGAATAGCATATATGTAAGTTATTCATTAGCAGGAGTGGAGATGACAGTTTATTTTCTGCAGTCCAAGCGTCAAGCGTTGATGTTTGGTGCCAACAACAGCGGACTGTGTCCAAGAAATATGATTAAGATCAACAACACATATCAGGTAAGTAAACAACTCGACAGTGAACTAGAGTTGCCAGCACTGACCTTGAAAAGGATCACAGTAGTTATCTAAAAACTTTGTACTTGCAAAGATCAAAAAGCTGCCCCTTCCCAAAATACAATTTAATAATGCAATTACAGAGGCAGGGAAAAGGGAATTGCTCATCCTGCTAAGAAGTCAAGGACACCAAAATTTTCTCTTGTATTCTGTGCATAGCATGTTGCAAATACATGTGATACTGCCAATAAAGTACAGTGAAAAGCAAGCCAAGCCAAGCTAGAAACAAAAACATTCTCGTATTAGTACAAATGGAAATCCCAATGCATAAGACATTAACTAGATGCCTCACAAATATGAAGTAAAAGTAAGTGTTATAGTATAAAATGTAAAATACCTTTTCTCTCAAAGCTTTCTTCTCTAACAAAGCAAACAAGAGCAAGGAATTTTGTCACTTCCTTTAAATAAAGAACAGTTGTATTATTTAATTTTATGATTGCCGTTGACTCTTTGTCATAAGGCGTTCCTGCACCGTCATCTTTGAGCCTAAAAATGCAACATAAAAAACCCACACATGATATCTTGTAATCATTGCATGAATTAATTTCTACTGACACAGGACTTTCTAGTGGAAAATCTTACAGTGTGTTTATGAAATTCATTTTCAATATTTGACAACATCTGAGAGGTGAAAACAGAATCCAGATCTCCTGGCCATTCTGTATCTGAACTAAAACCATTCATTTTCTCTAATCTCACTTACTACAAACTCATTTGCTTTATTAACTGCACCACACTCTGTCTGAACTTAGTTCAAATAAATACTGAGACTGGACCAGAGCAATTATCTCATAATTCTTAGTTCAATAACCTGCACAAGCCAGTAGCAGCTACATTGCTGGTCAGTGCAATTACTTGTTCATGAGGTACAATTAGTACAACTATATACACTGAGGAGAGATTTCTTCCACACTGAATGTATTAGGATGTAACAGCGTGGCACATACAGATGTTATTCATCTAAATGGAGATTAGGGGACCATTACTCAGGAATTTGAATCAATAATATGTTGTGACAGCAAGTTTCACTGATTCAATCTTTTGTGGCCTCCAGGTCTTGTTTCCAGAGAGAAGTTATTATTAAGGATCTCTGGAATTCACACCATAAGTATGTGGCACAGGTGCTTCTTTAAGATGAGCAGTTTAATCATCTTTAAGATGCTCTGCCCCTCCACCCCCTGCCACTGATTGACGGAGAAGCCCAGTTGCTCACTACCTGCACCTGATACCGCAGCTGGTTTTCACCTCCCAGGCATCAGGTGCAGACACAGAACAATAGGGCTCCTTCACCAATCAGCAGCCTAGGGTGGGGGGGGGAGGGGGCAACACAGGGGAAACTCCAAGATTAAAGAAGCTGCCATGCGGTTCCAGCATGAATTCCAGAGATCCCTAGTTATTATACATCAGACCAGTCTTCTTTGTAGCATTTTAATATATCTCTATCACTTACTCATCTCTTCCCACTTACCACAAATTAACATAATTAGAATTATTTACACAAACAAACAAAAACACATTATATTTCTGCTGTGATTAAAGTGTTAAACATGCTATAAATAATACCATGCCAGATGTTCATTGCATTTATGGCGCTATAAAAAGACAAACCCACTACTAAGATATTCCACAAAGAAAAGCGTAACATTTTTGTGGCTGGTGCCATAAACTGAACATGTGGAATGCTCATCATCCCAATGCTGACAATCAGATGACTGTCAGCACAGGAACCTGGACAGCTCCTGGTCTGGAATTTGGTTAGTAGAGGTGCACTGCTACATTGGTCCAATATTGGATTGGCACCTATATAAAGAAAATTGACTACATCAGAAATTGGCCTGATATGGCCAATATTTTGGCAGATAAATGCCCATGCATGCACACAGCTGCAGCACAGCACATAGGCAGAGAGGAGCACAGCCTGGCACCTTGAAGAACTACATGCAGCTGGTAAGTCTGTTGTGGTGGAAGGGGAAGGGGGAGGGAAGGGGCGTGGGGGACAAATCAATTCCCCCTGTGATGAGGGAGGGAGTAGGGCTGGGGCAAGCACTGCCCAGGCGGGGAGGGGTGCCGGACAGAGCCATGGCTTGTCTGGGGGGGCGCAGGGAGGGGAGGGGTTCCTGCTGCTGCGCGTAACCCGGGACAGCACGGGGTGGGGAGCATGTGCCCCCGGATCTGCGATCTACATGGAGTGTGGGCAAGGTAGGCTGCAGCTGTGAGCTGGCTCTTACTGGTGCAGCAGGGGGTCGTGGGATGGGTCGGAGCTGTG